AAATTAACAAAAATAGCTATGACATTTGTTCCTCTAGCAATCAGATTACCTAGTTTATTAGGGTGACTCATATTTAACTCCCTGAATTCTCAATTTCTGGAATCTGTTTCAGCAGAATCTCAAGGCTCTGGAGCCAGATAGCTTGGCTTGAATTATAAATCCACTAATTCCTGCTGTGTGAACTGAGTACATTACGTAGTCACTTAGTCCCTAAATTTCCTCAGCCGGAAAATGAGAAAATAACAGGTACTACCCTCAAAAGGCTGTGGGAAAAAAAATTAAATGGGTTAGGATGTACAAAGTCCTTAAAAGTGGCCCATATTTTGTAAATAAAAACCCGTGCATTCTTGTAGCTGTGAAAATGTTTTTGAGATAAGAGGAAAGATAGCTTAAATCTTTATGTATTTACAATAACCTTGTTTTGAAGTAAACCTCCATGCCTCTGAGAGTTCTTGGGAAAACAGGGCACATGGTTATAGAAAGGTTTCCTGTATTGCCTCCTCTAGACTCTATACGTCTCATTATAACCTGACAAAGAAAGAGGAAATCTCTACAAACCTCATACAAATAAGTTTTAATTATGTAATTTAGAGATTTTACAAACAAATCCTCATACAGTGCACGATGGCTGCCTATTTTGGCTTAAAATGCTAAAAGAGTATCTCTATGCAACAAGGAGAATAAATTACTGTCCTAACAACAAGCATGAGAATTCCTCTTAGGGAACCATTCTGATAAACTACTTGGAGTGGAAACTCAAATCCTTAGAGATGAGCTAGCACGAGATGATGCCACAGCAGAGGAAGTTAAACAATTCAGCATTAGACATGAAAAAGAACTTGGGAGAGAGAAGATATTGCAGAATTTATGACAGAACAGCAAAGTGACTTTTAAGGAATGGAAGATCCAATATTACATTTTATGAGTCTGTTTGGTTTCATTTGCAGTGCAACACCCTGCATTCACAGAGGCACACATCACCTCCAAAGCTTTAGTGGTATTAGGGTAACAGGCAGAGGGTTTTCTTACTTGTTTTGATTTTTTGGTTTTCTCATGCAAATCAAAGAAAGGCAAGTTCCGTGTTTCCCTTGACATGGTTTCGAACAGGGACTGATCTGAGATCTGCAAGCTACCAGACCATAGAAACAGCTCTTACCCAGGGTGAGCAGTACTAGTTAGAGTACAAATATTTCTCCCTTCTCCTCTATTCCCAGAGAAATATTCCCCATGGGGAATTTTCAGAAGTGTTGATCCATAGTCTAAATTGTCTCTAGTCACTGTATCCTCACCCAGGCCCACCGCCGTTTGTTCTTGAACACACTCATCAGGCCTTTGCCCGGCGTGAAACTGCTCCTGTCAAAGTCACTATGATGTTCACATGGTTGGGACCATTAAGTGGTCGATTCTCACTCTTCATCCAACTTGACTTACCACAGTTTACCACCTGCTTATTTTTGAAATTCTTCACTAGATGCCCAGAAATAACAGCAGACTCCTGTTTTCTTCATGTCTTAACCAATTACTCCTTCTCTGCAGCCTTTACTGGCTCTTAATGTCCTTAACCTCTAAGCACTGGATCAGTCCCTCCTTGTTCCTATTCTCCTTTCTATCTGCTCTCACAACCGTAGTGAGCCCATCCAACCTCATAGCTTTCTATATCATTATATGCTGGCAAATCTAGCCAGATTACTCGCCCAAACTCCATATTTATAATTCAGTTGTCCATTTGAAATCCTTCCGGACATCAAGGTGCTACTTAAGTGTTTAACAGACCCATCAGTCTCAAAAAACATCTCCTTCCACAATCATTCTGTCTCAGTAAAAGACAATTCCATCCTTCTCATTCTCAAGCCAAAAACAAAACAAAACCCAAACCTTGGAGCTGTCCTTGGTCTTTCTCTCTCTCACATCCTACATTCTGTTCATCAGGAAATATTTTTGTCTCTGTTTTCAATATATATCCAGAACTGGACCACTTCCAACTACCTCACTATTAACATCTCAGTCTAAGCAACCATCATATTTTGCCTGAATTTTGCCGAAGCCTCTTATCTGTTTTTCATGCTCTGTCATTTCCCCCACATTAGGGTCTCTCAACCTCAGAGCTAGTATTGTTGTAAAGGCTGTGCTGAAAACTGACCAACAGAATTCCATCTCACCCAGAAAAAAAAGAAAAGAAAAGAAAGAAAAGAAAGGAAAAGAGAGAAGAGAAGAAAAAAAGAGAAAAGAAAAGAAAAAAAAAGAAGAAAAGAAAAGAAAAGAAAAAAAAGAAAAGAAAAGAAGAAAAAAAAGAAAAGAAAAGAAAAGAAAAGAAAAGAAAAGAAAAGAAAAGAAAAGAAAAGAAAAGAAAAGAAAAGAAAAAGCCAGAGTCCTTCCAATGGCCTGCTGGCTCTACATCCACTACCCACCCATTACTCCTTCCTTGAACTCATCTCCTTTCTCACCCACATACTCACTCTGTTCTAGTCATTCTTGCCTCTTTGGGTTCCTCAAATATACCAGCAAGCTCCCATCTCCAAGTCTGGGCACTTTGTTCCCTCTGCCTCTACGCTTAGATACTTGTTCCACAATATCCATTTGGCTTTGCTCCTTCACTCCTTTAAATTCTTTGCTCAAGAGTCAACTTCCCAATGAAGCCTCCTGTATTCATTTATTTTAAAATTTTGGCTCCCTTCCTTTTGCCTCATCCACCCCCTACACTTCTTATACCTCCATTCCAGCCTTATTTGTAAGGGCACTTATCACCATCTGATATACTATATGTGTAAATAATTGCTCCAATGTCTGTCTCTACCTAACAGGATGTAAGCCCCAGGAGGAAAGGGCTTTTGCCCTTTTTTTATTCACTGCTGTATCCCCATCATGTAGAAAAGTGCCTACAGGGAGGCACTCAAAAGTGCTTATTAAATAAATGAGGGAAGGAAGGAGGGAGGAAGGGAAGCAAGGGAGGAAGAACGGAAGGAAAGATAGAAGAGAGGAGGGAGAGAGGGAGATATAGGTCTTGGAAACCATCCTAGGTAGACCTAAAGGGTCCAGGCAGATGCAACTGACATCTAGGACACATCTACCTACACCATTAAGAAAGATGGTCGGTTTCAATAAAACTTATTTATTCATGAAATACAATGGAAACTAAGGATTTGGAAACATGCTTCTGTGCTTAGGAATTTTATATAGGGAGTATTTGGAAAACAAACTCATAAATTCATTATTTTATAATCTAAATATCTATAGACATATGAAATTGGTAGAACTTTAAATAGGATTTTATAAAGTGCCAAAGGCTGTGGTAACTCCCCTAGATACCTACAAAGGAGTATTCTGAGGTAAGTCAAATCATTCAATTATATACACCACAAGGAGCTTAACAAGTAATAGTAACAGTGAACAAAGCTCTCTTCTACCAGATGAAAGCCTGTATGGTTCAATTGTGAGTGAAAGAGAGGAACAGAAATGCTTCCTGCTGCAAGCTGACAGTTACATGGAACCCCCTGAAGTTATAAATTGAGTTCCTCTACTAATTACTGGTCTGAAAGGGACAAAGATCCACATTTTATTCCTCTCGCTGAACCTGCAACATAAGCACTTGTGAATTTTACATTAGGGTCAAGCTGCGAAGTTCCCAGCTGGTTTTACCTGGAGTAGAGAACAGAGCCACCTCCCAAGCAAATGAGGTCAGATAGTCCTTCCTGCCTTGGGTGCCTACCAGAGAGATTTCAGGGTAACAGATTCATATGGGGAAGTTGATATAGAGGGGGGGGGGAATGAAAGAAAGAAAGAACAAAACTAAACTAACTATAGATCCTCTGAAATAAAATTTTGTTTGGTGATTTGAAATAAAATCTTACGGATTCTAAGAGCACATACTTCGAAAAGACCTCAGAATTTTGTAATATTACTCCCTAAAATTGGATGCCACACCCATTTTGGTAACAATATCAACTCTTCTATCTACTTTCTAAACTATTCATTGTAAGACCAATAACAGCTACACAGCAGGCAGTTACTTTAATAAAATAGGCCCAGTTCTCCAGAGAGAGGAACCTGTGGTTCAAATACTAACAGTTTTGATCAGGTAAGCACTTTATTCTTGCCAATGAGCAATCACTTTTATGTGGATGCTGATCAAAAATGTTCTTGGGAAGGCAAAAAGATGGGGGGAGAACAAAAGACTGCTGTGATGTAGGATTTCAAAACAGGTTTTCTGAGAAGGAGAAACAACTTCAGCATTTCTAATGGGTATACGTACACTTTCTAACTTCCTGGAAAGTCATAGTTCACTCACCTGCAAAAGTGGTAGCTTCAATTTAGGATAATAAAATTCATCCATTTATTCCTTTGACAAACAATTATTGCACATAATGTCTTTGTAAAAGGAAGAAACAACAGAGTACTCTTTCTGAGCATAATCTCCATTATACAATTTCCCTTCTCCTTTGTTTTTATTCTACTTGCTATAACTGTACTGAAATAAGACTGAACAAAAATAATGTGAAATAACTGATACACTCTGGTTCAAAATCTGAGAATTAGGAAAGAGAAAATAATCAGTGAGTGTGCTCTCAGTGTAAAACACCAAAGAGTTCTGGGAGTCATCAAGACAGCTTGAAACCCCAGCTCCACCACTTACTGGCTGTCTGAGCGAATAAAAGATTCCCTGGATGTCGAGTCCCTTGAGTAGAAAATGTTCTAACAGTACCTACCCATCTACTGCTTGCAAGGATTAAATGAGATGTTGGCAAGCGCACAGTCAATGAATTATAGCTACTTCTCTTTTGAAAACCTAAACTTACATAACGCCTTTCTTAATTCCTATGAGGAATTCTTGGCAAGATTTAGGAAACATCAAGTTTTACTTTACCTCTTCAGAAAGAATTATTTTTTATGTTCATTCTCTTAAAAAAAAAACTCTTGGAATTTTCACATATCAAATAAATGCATGAAGAAAAATTTCTACTTTCAGAGATCCCTTCCAATAAAATAACCAAGAAAATACTTACCTAGTTTTGGCAAGGAATAGGGCACCTTAAAGTAGTCTTCATAAAATTCTATTAATCTCTTTGTTATATGGAGAGCATAGTCCCCAGATCCTCTTCTGATAGCATCGGGTCTTGCATATAGTCGTACCTAATTAAAAATATATATAAAAGTTACTTTAGCCTTTGGTATTCAAATTTTATCTTCCCTGCATATATGAATCTACACAAATCACTGTGTCTACTACAAAAATTAAACAGGATTCTTATTCATATATTAAAGCACGCTGTGGCTGAAAGAACCAAACTTGAACAATTAAAGTAACCAAGTTGAGCAAGTCACAATTTTCTCACTTTACAAGGTGACATAGAGAAGATTTATACACCTTGCATCAAAATAAATATTCAAGTTATCACTTACATGTGCTTGCTAGAGATATGAAGGTGCAGTGGATTAGTATAATGGTTCCCTGACTATGCTGTAAGGAGGCAGGATATGGTGGCTCCACAGGAGAGCAAATTCATGGTTTGTTAAAGACACATTGCATCAAGCTTTGGCAGTATTACCAGGCTGAACAAAATATAATTTATGCTTCCTTCTTTTCTTTGGAGCCAACTGCCCTTATTCCTAATATGCAAAGTAGGAATAGCAAACTTCTCATGTACATAAATGATTGCCATTCTGGAAGGCTGTCGGCAACTGCTCCCAGCTTCGAAACCAGCTGAAGTATTTCATACCTCTAACACAATTCAGATACTTACTATTGATTTTTAAATCAAGCATTGTATATTATCTAGTCCTTGGCCAAAAAGAAGCCTGGGGCAAATAACATAAAACTGAACAAAACTAACAATTGTACAGAAAAGGTTAAAATGAGATTGGTTTTCATAAAGATTTCATAAAGCTATCCAGAATCTTTCTTTCCAAAGGCTAAATCTATTTTTCACAGATGTGGCCCCTAATCCTCATATCAACTCTGTGAATAAGAAATATGCATTTTGTAGAGCAGTGGAGAACACAGCAGCCTGGGAGTAGGGTGTTAGTCCTGTTCCGCCGCTAAGCGAGCTGGGTGATATTGAACAAATTACTCAACCTCTTTGGGCCTCAAATGTTCTCACTTATAAAATGAAGTTGTTGACTAAAGTGCTTTTCAGTTCTAAAACACATTACTTCCAATCCCATTTTATAGATAAAGGAGTTTGTGTTCTTTTTGAATCACTAAAAACAACAATAATAATAATAAATGGTTTACTCAGTATGTGAAAATGGATATTTATATTCAACAAGAAGACAAAAGAAAGCTGTAATCAATCATATAAAAAATTGATTATACAATTAACTCTGTTATCCTTGCTTAGGAGGGAGAACAGAGATGTGTAAAAATAAAAAGAGTAGAAAAGTTTAGAAAAATGCATTCTGACTTGATGTTAGAAAGACCTGTAATTCAAAAGATATTTACTAAATTCAATAACAATTATTTACTGAAATGGTAAAGCTACTTCCTACCCTACAATCATATCAGATATCAAATTTAGTTAACAGTTTTGGTTGGCAGTCAGATAAAACCGTACACTATCAGGAAGTGCCAGTTGCAACAGCAGAACTTAACACTCAGAGAGAGAGAGTGTGGATACGACTCCCTGACCCTGACATCAATTGACTATAAACATGCACTATCTTAAGTAAAGTTGCCAAGAGGCAAACCCTAAGAAAAGGGCGAGCATACGAGTGATTCACTGAGGAAGTGTTCGTGGGAGAAATCGACAAGAGGCAAGGCAAGCAAGAAAAGGGAGGCTAATCAGCCGAGCAAAGTCCTGGCCTTACCCCCATCCCACAGGGAGCTCTAGAGTATAAATTTCAGTAGCAAGTTTGCACTGCAAGACAGATAGACCTTCATACTCTTGCATCTCAGTCATCGGATACTGGTTACCAAGGGGAATGCATAAAATCCCAAGGACTCCCTGTTCTTGGAGCATCTAGGTGATGCAGCTCCAGTGGCCCAGAGATAGTCTTTTGGAAGAGATTTTAAGTGTGAGCTTCCAGGAGCAAAGCAATGAAGAGCTGGGGGTAGGCACATCAAACAGGAAAGGAGATCTGGGCTGTGCATCATGAACATACACCACAGACAGTAATCATTCATTCACAGAGTCATTCATTCAACAAATATTTATTTGGCATCTAACTTGCACTAGGGCCTGGACTAAGGATTTTTAATTCAGTGGTGAAGACATGTCTTCTAACCAGCGATGGTACAAAGCAATTTGAGAAAAAAAAATTAAAAAGGCAATGAAGGGGATCCCTGGGTGGCGCAGCGGTTTAGCGCCTGCCTTTGGCCCAGGGCGCGATCCTGGAGACCCGGGATCGAATCCCACGTCAGGCTCCCGGTGCATGGAGCCTGCTTCTCCCTCTGCCTATGTCTCTGCCTCTCTCTCTCTCTCTCTCTCTCTCTCTGTGTGTGTGTGTGTGTGTGTGACTATCATAAATAAATAAATAAAATCTTAAAAAAAAAGGCAATGAAGGTGCAGTCCCCATTCTCGAAGAGCTTCCCATGTACTGGGTTGGTTAGATAATACCAGATAATGATATATGACGTACGAATAGTAAGTTAAAATAACAAATGTATTCTGAGGAAGAATAGATAGCTTTCAGAAAGCTCAAAGGTGAAGCAAATAGTAAATTCATGTTGAAACCATAACCAGGACCACTGCAAAAATGATGCAGCAAAGGTTACTGATTTTACTCCTACAAAGCATCATTGATTTTGGTAGAAACACAGCCATTCCCGTCAATCAACCCTACCAGTTGGTCAGGCTATCTGTGGGCCCAAACAAGAGGAACACAATTAAATCAATCTGGTTGTCAAGATTTGATGGAGATAATCCAACTTGAGTGAGAAGATAAAGCATTCACAGGTTTAGCACGGTGCCTTCATTTGCTCCATTCAGACATTTATGGCATACCTGTTGTGTGCCGGGCATTGCACTAAGGAATAGAAATAGAACAATACAAAGTCCTACCACAAAATGAACAAGACATTCACACCTACTACTCTTACGAGGTTTGTAATATGTGGAAAACAAATCCACAACAAAAATATAATGTAAGCAATGTAACAAACAGTGTACCCGGTCTTCCCTCATTACAAAGGATTTACTAACTTCCCACACAAGGCCAAGCCCCTACACTCTATCTCGCCTTTTCAAAAACATCAAGCCCAGACCTCTCTCCTTTATCTCCCACATCACCCATCTATGCCTCCGTATGGGATTGTTTTCATCAGCAAATACTCTGTATTGTTTTCTATGTTTTCAAACAAACAAAAAATTTTGCTTGAGCACAGTTCCTCCAGCTATGGCTTCCAGCAATGCCCGTTGAAAGAGTTTTCCATATAGTTAGTATGAACATTTAAGTTAACATCCAAACTGGAACACGTTTGAGAATGAAAACAGCACTTATGGGGATCCCTGGGTGGCTCAGCGGTTTAGCGCCTGCCTTTGGCCCAGGGCACAATCCTGGAGTCCTGGGATCGAATCTCATGTCGGGCTCCCGGCATGGAGCCTGCTTCTCCCTCCTCCTGTGTCTCTGCCTCTCTCTCTCTATCTCTCTCTGTCTATCATAAATAAATAAATAAACCTTTTAAAAAAAAGAAAACAGCACTTATACCTTGAGATAATAAGCGTAAGTAGGGTGGTTGCTTATTTATAGGTCTGCTTCTAATCTATCTTGAACTCACTGCAACAGGGCTTTCATCCCCACTATACACCAACAGTGTTCTCACTGAGATCACTAATGGCCTCAGGATGCCAAGTCCAACAGTCAGATTCTAGTCTTCAATGTGCCTCACCTACCAGCAGCGTTTGACCCAACTGTTTCCCCTCCTTGAACCATCTTCTTGCTTTGGCTTCCATTTTACTTTTCCTTCTATCCTGTTAACCACTCCTTCTCAGTCTCCTCAACGACTCCTCCTCATCCCTTTCATTACTTAATTTTGGAGGTTCCCAGGTATTAATCCATAGACATACTTACTTTCCTGCCTATGTTCAGAATCTTGGTGGTAACATCTAGTTTTGTGGTTATAAAGATCAGATGCTGAAGACCCACCCTAAATTCCAACTTCCAGATTATTCATCCAGCTGCCCATTGGACATGTGCACTTGGGGATCTATAAGGCATCTCAGATTTAACATGTTTGAAATCATATACCAGATCTCTCCTCCCCTCTCCTCTCCTCTCCTCCCCTCTCCTCTCCTCTCCTCCCCTCTCCTCTCTCCTCTCCTCTCCTCTCCTCTCCTCTCCTCTCCTCCCCTCTCCTCTCCTCTCCTCACCTCCCCTCTCTTCTCCTCTCCTCTCCTTTCTTCTCCTCTCCTCTCCTCTCTTTTCTCTCTCCATCTCTCACACACACACATACCTGTTCTCTTTAAATTCTTTCCATCCAGCTGCCCAATCCCAGTACCTCAACATTATCCTTGTTTCCCTCTTTCTCTTTCATTCCATTTTCAATTGGCCATCAAATCCTTTGGCTCTCCCTTAAAAATATAGCCAGACTCCAACCACTTCTCACAACGGGACCATCACCACCCTACTTCAAGTTTTCTTCATTTCTTGGATAGATGAGTGCTCCAATTTCCTACTGAGGTCTCATCCCTTACTCTTTTCAGTCTGTTCTCTACACAATAATCAAAATATTCCTTTCAAATGAACATCAAATATATCACTCTTCTGCTTTTCCTTTTCCAGTGATTTGCCATCTCATTCACAGAGAAAAGCATAAGTTTTTATAAGGGCCTCTAATTCCTATAAAAATCTAGTCTCTTTAAATTCTCCAGCCTCAGGAGCCTGGCTGGCTCAGTCCATTAAGTGGCTGCCTTTGACTCAGGTCATGATTCTAGAGCCCTGAGTTCGAGTTCTGAGTCAGGCTCCCTGCTCAGCAAGGGAGTCTGTTTCTCCCTCTCCCTCTGCCCCTGCTCGTGTGCTCTCTCTCTTACTCACTCTTTCTCTCAAATAAATAAATAAAATCTTAAACACACACACACACACACACAACAACAACAACAACAACAAAAGACCTGTCCAGCCTTATTTCCTACCACTTTGCTCCAAACTAATCTTACTCAAGTCATACACTAGCTTCCTTGACATTCCTCAAATAC